AAACGCCGCGGTCCCCTTTTCCTTCTCATCCTCCTTCCCCCGTTCTTCCTCGTCGTCGTCATCGTCCTCCTCCTCCTCCTCATCTTCACCATGAGCATCGTCGTCCCTTCAACTCCTAATTCTCCTCATCAGCATCGTCCCTCATCCCCATCATCATGAACATCAACATCATCATCACCATCATAACCATCAATATTGTCATCGTCGTCGTCATCATCACCACCATCATAATCACCATCCTCATAGTCATCCAGATCATCATCATCACCACCAAGATCACCATACTCACAATCAACATCATAAGCATCATCATCGTCGTCATCACAAGAGTCATCATCATCAGCATTGTCGTCGTCATCGTCGTCATCACCATCCATCCTACCCATCCTCCACATCGTCACCACCACCATCACCATCACCATCACCATCAGCATCAGCATCAGCATCATCATCATCATCAACATCATCATCATCATCTTCATCATTATCATCTTCGTCACCATCACCATCACCATCACCATACGTCATGATCCCCGTCCCCTCCTCATTACCAACATCCTCAACATCATCAGCCAGCTTTCGCCCTTTCTTCCTCGTGCAGTCATCAACATATTTCCTCCTCATCCTCCTCATCATCACAATAATCATCATCATCATCATCATCATCATCATCATCATCATCATCATCATCATCATCATCATCATCATCGCTATCAGCATTGTCGCCCCTCCCCCTCATCCTCCTCATCCTCACTATCATCGTCATCATCCCTCCTCGTCCTCGTCCTCGTCCTCGTCATCATAAACCACTACGCTCACCAGTATCAATCCTCCTCTTCCTCCTCCTCCTCCTCCTCTTCGCTTCCCATTTCAAGGCGGATGGGGGGAGTCGGGAGACTTAGTTGGGAGGAAGAAGCCGACACAATAAACAGCACCACGAAATCTCCGCACTGAAACACAGCAAGCAAACCATACAATCAAAAGCAACAAGAAACACTACGACATCTATACAGCCAACGACAGTAAGCAAACGCCTGAGGTCCACGAACCCTGTGAGTGTACCAAGCAACAAACATTAAACATACACTTGCAACCTGTGAGGGTACCGGGAATACAAAAACAAACATTGCGGTTGTGGCTTCGGATTTCCTCAGGGTCCGTCCAGCCCAGATCCGCCCAAGCAGCCTGAAAGCACCACCACAATCAAAAACACTGGGAAAACGTCTTGGGTCCACGAACCCTTTGAGGTACCACAGAAAACCAAACCAGACAGTCCACTACAAAAAACTGCGAGGGTACAAAAAAGCAAACCATACATCGGTCTCGTGTCTTCAGGATTCCTGGGCGGATCTGGGCTGGAGGGGCCGTTGCCTCATTGTTTTTGATTGCGTTGGTGCCTTCAGGCTGCCTGGGTGGATCTGAGCTGGAGGGGCCCTGAGGAAGTGTGAAGACACGAAAACAACGGTTCTGTGGTATTTCTGGTAACCTCACACGTAGATTTTTGTGGTACCCTCAGATGGTTCGTAGACCCATGACGCTCTCTTTTTGTTTTTGTATTGTATTGGTGCCTTCAGGCTGCATGGGCGGGTTTGGGCTGGAGGGGCCCTCTGGACGACCGAAGACACGAACACAATTAATGTCATTGTTTTGGCATCCTCACGGGTTTGTTTGTTTCTGCTTGTTTGTGGTGTCATCACAAGATTCGTGAACCCAAGACGCGTTTCCATTGTTCTTGATTGGATGGACTTCTCCGTGTGCTTGATTGTATGGGCTTCTTATTGTTTTTGAATATGCGGTTTGCTTATTGCCTTTTCAATGTATGTGTTCCTTATTGTGTTTGGTTGCATGTTTTTCTTATTGTGTTTGATTGCACGGATGTCTTTTTTTATTTCGGTTGCGCGGGAGAGAGAGAGAGAGAGGATGAGGAGGATGAAGACGAGACCTAACATGAGGAGGAAAAGCAACAAGTAAACTTTGATGATGGTGATGATGATGGTGATGATGATGAGAAAACATTCATGCCACACAGTCTCAAAGCTCACCCTTACGGGCGGGACAATTTAAACTAAACAGTTTTCTGCCGCTTGGGATGATTGTGAAAAGGGCGGTCAATTAATCTCGTTGGCATTCACGATGACGCCCACGAATCCATGAGCGCATCAGCACGTCTGGAACACAATTTATGAATCGTCGCCCAGGGCACTGCTGCGTGACGGTATTTCTTCATCGTCATCCTGCAAGAACCTTGCGTTCCCAGATGTCCGACTATGTGTTTTGATTGAAGCCGCGGGCCCCCGAGACTTCGACCGCCTCCCCGGCCCTAGTTGTTCGCCCTGGATTAACTTCTGATGGCCCTTGGATATGCAAACCGCTCAGGAGGTCGATACTGATGACAAGCCCAGACCTCAAACTGTGGTTTTCCAATCCGTAGTTGTTGCTAGATGTCGGTTCGTGGGCCACGTTCTCGGGCCCCTGGGGGCAGTCAGAAATGGCTCCACCGCGGAGAACACAACCCTGGAGAGGGGGTCGCTGAGGCCGCGGCTTGAAGAATCGCATCGGAGGATGTCTGGGAACGCTCGGCATGAAAAGAGACGTGCACCCGGACATCTGGGCCGCACTGTTTTCACGACGCGAGGGAGGTGCAGAGAAGCCGCTCAGCAAGGGTCCCTGGACCCTGCCCGGAGCCCAAGGCGAGAGCGCCCGACGGCTCCTGCCTTTGAGTCCGAGGCGAGAGGGCCCGACGGATCCGGCCGTGGCGGCGAGGGCCCCCCCAGAGGACGCAAAAAAAAAAGCCTTCGAGCCTCGAATCGCAGGATCTGCCCAGGGTCGACCAGGAAACGGGAACACACACACCACACACACACACACGCACACACACACACCACACACACCACACACACCACACACACCACACACACACCACACACACCACACACATCACACACACCACACACACACCACACACACCACACACACACACCACACACACACACACCACACACACCACACACACACCACACACACCACACACAACACACACAACACACACACACAACACACACAACACACACACAACACACACAACACACAACACACAACACACACAACACACACAACACACACAACACACAACACACACAACACACAACACACAACACACACACACAACACACACAACACACAACACACAACACACACAACACACACACAACACACAACACACACAACACACAACACACAACACACAACACACAACACACACACACACAACACACAACACACAACACACACACACACCACACAACACACACAACACACACAACACACAACACACACAGGCACACACAGGCACACACAGACACACACAGACACACACACAGACA